AAAACATGGGTACTTAGTGAAGCCAGACTGTTGTCCCAATAAAAAGTTCACCATCTTCAGGTCAACACAAATAAACCACTTATGCTGATCATAACCAATTTTCTCCAGCACATACTTCACCGCTTCATAGTTCTCCTTCAGTGTACTTGAGTGAGCCAGGGGTATAGAGGCAAACTGGTTGCCGTTGTATAGCAGAACACATTTCAGTGATCGCTTGCTGCTGTCATTGAACAGTCTCCAATCTTTGGGTTCATACTGTGGCACTCCAAGCTTGAGCAGAAGCTGTGCAATATCTGCACAGTACACCAAGTCCTTCTCTTCCGAGAAAAAATGGAGGTTTTATGACTTCAAACTGTTCCCTTTTTGACATAATCACCCAGAACTATCGGATCTGAATACTTCTTGTCATTAAAATAATCATTTCCAATCAAAACAATTATTCGACATGGCATTTTACCCACACCAACTTCTTCTAAAATGCTCCACACAAGCGTACATGTGAACAAAAACGAAAACAAAAACAAAAACGACATGTGGCCATAGCTCAAAAACTTGACCTGATTGAGCAAAACCAATGTGATTTTTGGATTCAGCGCATCAGATTCATCCTAAATCAACTGAAAAAACACAGACAACAGATTTGTTGTTGATCAGTGTTATCGTATCGTATCGTATCGTATTGTATCATAAAGTCCTGGCCCAGGTGTGACATACCTCCCCTTGACTCTAGCCTTGATGAGAGAGCCTTTGTGGGGTGTCTGGTTGTGCCCCCTCAGAAATTTGCACCCAGGGCCACGGTCCCCCTGCCCCCCTCCCACTACGCCACTGATTTCACATTCTCTTAACAAAGAATTCTTGGCACTCTCAACAAGCCACAACTCCTAGGATTCCTTGTGGGAAGCCATGCTACTTAAACAAGCATAAAAGCAATGTACCTTTGCAATGTATATAAATACAGAGAAAGACCAAGAGATCTTATAAATACTAGTACAATGATAGTGTGCTTGCTCAGCAAGGTTTTATTTTGAGCAGTTAAGGAAAACAATTAAAACTTCTCCAATGCAAGATTTAATCGGAAGTGTGAAAATATCACACTGAGCTTTCCCTTAGCTTGCATGGAGTGCTAGCATGAAATACAACACAACAACGTGAGGTTGTTTTGCATTGCTTTCGAGCACAACTGTGATGCATTAAGGCGAGCATAAAACATGAGGGGGAAACTGTGAAAAGGCTCCTTCAGCAGTTCTTCTGTATGAATCTTTTAAAAAGGACACCTTGTTTGCTTTGCATTAAGATCCTGTGATTATTCTGAATGCTGCATTGCACGCCCTCCCCTAGCTGTGGGAGTGGTTGTGGGTATTTTGTACACCTACACACACAGAGAGCAGTCACATACCCACATTAAAAAAACAAAAACACCTATTCTGCCAGCAGAAAAGTAAAACAAAGTGCATCTGCATATATTTGAGAAGGCACACATTCACTCAGCTCCAAGAAAGCTGGCTTTGACCCAAGTTGGATTGTTATTGCAAGAAATGGGAGAATGGAAGGAGAATTCCTTGGGGAGGGAGTAGAGCTCAGCAACAGAGCACATGCGTTACTCATAGGGATGGAAGGATCTGTCAATTTCGGTTCTCTCCGTTTCTCATTTTCTGATCTTAAATTCAATTCCCCACATTACCCCCCATTTCTGCAACAATTTGCATTTTTAAAAAATCCCTATGAAAGTTTGCCAGCAATTTAGGGTTAATTTCTCATAATGAACACAAGCAATGCTTGCAAGCAATCTAACATAATGCATTTTTGTATGTTATTTTAAGCGATGTAGTAATATTTATACACACTTTTTTCTTGTAAATGCTTCTTAGTTGGAGAACTGTACTGCCAAATTTGAAGTTTGGCTGTTTTGGTTCCCATATAGCATGGGTAGGCAAACTAAGGCCCGGGGGCTGGATCTGGCCCAATCGCCTTCTAAATCCAGCCCACGGACGGTCCGGGAATCAGCGTGTTTTTACAAGAGTAGAATGTGTCCTTTTATTTAAAATGCATCTCTGGGTTATTTGTGGGGCATAGGAATCCGTTCATTCCTCCCCCCAAAAATATAGTCCAGCCCCCCACAAGGTCTGAGGGACAGTGGACTGGCCCCCTGCTGTAAAAGTTTGCTGGCCCCTGCATAGTTTCAGAAACTGATTTGATATTTGCCTTTAAATGTGAACTTTATTTGTGGTTTCAGAGTTAGCGCTAACCAAGGCATCTTGAATTGTAGCCAACTAAGTTCTGCTTAGAGTCAAACTGGAGGATGGAGACAAGGGCAGATGGACGTGTGGGCGTTCCAGGCTAGCGGTCCAAGCAAGGTGAGGAGGTCTGCTCCAGAAGACAGAGATACAAGTGGGTCAGCAGCTGAAATGAGGAGGAGAAGGGAACCGGAGAACAGAGACAGAGACAGGAGAGTAGATGGGCAACCCAGGTGAACAGTCCAGGTGAGGTGTGGAGATATGGTAAGGTCCAGGGGTATTTTATTTGCGAGATGTAAAGGGAGGTAAAGGGGGGGGGGTGTTTGGTGAGGTGTAAGTGGGGGGAGGGGATTGACAAAGCAGTTGGGATTGGGTGGGGGGTGGGGGCAAGAGCAATTAGTGAGCAAAGCCCCTAGTTCTCTATATTGATAGTAATCTGTATTTTGATAGTTTTGTTTTGTCTGCTGTTGATTTTGTCAGCATTTTCTTATGAGTATGTTATACAGTGGTACCTTGGTTCTCAAAGTTAATCCGTTCTGGAAGTCTGTTCCAAAACCAAGCATTCCAAAACCAAGGCACACTTTCCCATAGAAAGTAATCTAAAATGGATTAATCCATTCCAGACTTTCAAAAACAACTCCTAAAACAGCAATGAATTTTACTATTGAACGAGACCATTGAGCCATAAAATGAAAGCACTAATCAATGTTCTGTACTATAAAATAAATAAGACAGTGTTGTAGATGATAACAATTATTATTTTTTCTTACCTGCACTGATGATAGTCATTGTTTGGATGGGGGGCTTTTATCCATTTCCACAGTTACACAATCAATCAATCAATCAATCAATCAATCATAAAATGAAAAACAAGCCACAGTCACAAAAATGAAAAAGTCACACAAACAAAAATGCAAAAATTAGCAAAAACAAAAGCACCAAATATCACCTCAGAACATTGCAATCAGAAATGGAAGGCTTTAATTACGATGGGGGGGGGGAGACTTAAATTAGCTGCTCAAAGATACAAATGGGATGAAAAAAGGCTTAATTACGACAAGGGGGGGGCCTTAAATTTGCTGCACAAGGGTAAAACAAGAGGGGGAAAGCCTTAATAATTATGCAGGGGACTCAAATTTGCTGCACAACAGTAAAAACAGAAGCTCAGGAGCAAGTTCGGCTTCCAAGGCAAAGTTTGAAAACTGGAACACCTACTTCTGGGTTTGCAGCATTCGGGTTCTGAGTTGTTTGGGAACTAAGTTGTTCGAGAACCAAGATACCACTGTATTATTTTATGTAAATCACTCTGGAGAAGTTTTTTTTTAAAAATAAGTGGTATATAAATTGAGTGAAACAAACATTGCGAGTGAGACAGCAGCAGCTGCTAGTGCAACTGGCTAGATTAGAAGGGACAAGGCAAGTTGTGTGGCAAGTGCAGCACCATCTTCTATCACTCCCTCAACCACTTTCTGGCTCCAGGCATTATTTATTTGCTCAGTTTTGCATTTGTATATCATGTAATCATCAAGAAAAAAACACGCTGTTTGAAACAGTGGTTCTAAGTAGTTTTACAAAGCATAGGCTTGCAGCCACCTTAGTGTTAAATACAGTGGTACCTCGCAAGACGAATGCCTCGCAAGACGAAAAACTTGCAAGACGAAAGAGTTTTTTGTTTTTTGAGTTGCTTCGCAAGACGAATTTCCCTATGGGCTTGCTTCGCAAGACGAAAAACGAAAACGTCTTGCAAGTTTGTTTCCTTTTTCTTAAAACCATTAATACCCAGGGTGACTTCGAGGAGCAACTCATAGCACGCGGTGTGGTAGCCTTTTTTGAGGTTTTCTGAAGACTTTGCTGATTTTGAAGACTCTGGGAAACTGTGCTTCGCAAGACAAAAAATTCGCAAGACGAAAAAACTCGCAGAACGAATTAATTTCGTCTTGCGAGGCACCACTGTAACTTTGTTGCTCTTTAGTCATTTAGTAGTGTCCGACTCTTTGTGACCCCATGGACCAGAGCACGCCAGGCACTCCTGTCTTCCACTGCCTCCTGCAGTTTAGTCAAACTCATGCTGGTAGCTTCAAGAACACTGTCCAACCATCTCGTCCTCTGTTGTCCACTTCTCCTTGTGCCCTCCATCTTTCCCAACATCAGGGTCTTTTCCAGGGAGTCTTCTCTTCTCATGAGGTGGTCAAAGTATTGGAGCCTCAGCTTCAGGATCTGTCCTTCCAGTAAGCACTCAGGGGTGATTTCCTTCAGAATGGATAGGTTTGATCTTCTTGCAGTCCATGGGACTCTCACGAGTCTCCTCCAGCACCATAATTCAAAAGCATCAATTCTTTGGCGATCAGCGTTCTTTATGGTCCAGCTCTCATTTCCATACACCACTATTGGGAAAACCATAGCTTTAACTCAGAAGCATAGAATTGTAAGCGATCACAAGAATTGTTTCGTCTAACTCCAGGAATCTTTTGCCCAACGTGGGGCTTGAACCCTTGACCCTGAGACTGGAAGTCTTGTGCTCTACCAACTGAGCTATCCCGGCTCAACTTGCTCATCTGGGTTTCTAACACGCCAGAACATATTTAGGGAGGATGCAAGGCGCCAGGTGAAATGAGTGCACTGGGTACTACCCATAACACACGCACCCCAAGCCAATCACACAACCTTGTTACAATACACAATACTTTTTTAAAAAAAGAAACCCACCTACCATAATTAAAACACATTTCTTTAAAACATTGAAGTATAAAGGTCCATAATGAAAAGATGCAGGCAGCTGCCACATTGTGCCTAATGGTAGGGCCAGCCCTGAGTATATTAGATGGCTAACCTAGCTCTGGGTTGTGTGATAAGAGGCTCCTGGCTGCAGGAGCTTCAGCTGCTTTTGTACTGTCTCATTTTCAGATCAGAGGAGGAAGAAAAGGGGGGGGGGAGAGGATAAATAAACAAGGAAACAAACAAAAAGTTTCCGCTAAAATCATCTCTACGACTGCTAGGACTTTTTCCCGGCTTAGCAATTTCCCTCCCTCACAACTTCAATCTCACCCATGAAAGAAAAGGCAAAGGAAAAAAAATTGAAATGCTGCATTCTCTCTCTCTCTCTCTCTCTCTCTCTCTCTCTCTCTCTCTCTCTCCCTCTTTGTTAAGGCTTCTTTGCTGCAGGCAGTTGTAGAAAGCAAAGGGTATAAAAATAAAACCAAAAATACCCAGGAGAAGCACATTTCTGAAGTTTTTCTCAGGTTCTGCTACTGAGGACAAAATTAAAAAATAAATAGCTTCTCTCTAGCTTTCCCTTTGTACCCCAACTTAAAAATAAAATGAAATACAAGATGTGTGAGCTCATAGAATAAGAGGCATGGAGTGGGTGGGTGGGAAGCCTGTTGTTAAAAAGTAATAGGCTTAATTGCAAGTGAGACTTCTGTTTATATCCATTCTGAGTGCCTCATAAATACTGAAAAGACTTACTGCATTACTGCATTTCAAATAAGCTCAAGACTCATCAGTATTATCCATTCATTCATTCAATTTTTCCATTGCTTTCTGCATGCAGCTGAAGGAGATTTACAAACACAACATAAAAACAGCTAAAACAGTACAAAACAACAGCTAAGCAACATAAAATGAACACCTTTTGACCCACCCAGAAAGTATGATTTAACAAGAAAGTCTTTATTTGTTTCTGGAAAGAACGCACAATGCGTTCCATAGTGCAGATATTGTGGCAGTTCAGTGGGTGAACATTAGAATTGCAGAGTCAGCAGGGACCACAAATATTATTAAGTGTAATCCAGTGCTGATGTAGGAATTCCATCCTCAGCTTGAAACCTTCTAATGAAGAAGAGTCCACCAGTCTTCTGAGTCAGGCTGTTCTGCTGTCACACGTCTTGTCCTCATGTTTGGCGGAGATCCCCTGTCTTGTAATTTGAATTGGTTGGTTCGAGTCTCACCCTCTTGAAGCAGTAGAAGTTTGCTCTGTCCTCTATGTGACAGCCCATCAAATGTTTGAAGACAATTATTATACCATCTCCTGATCATCTCTGCTATGGACTATACATACCCAGTTCCTTCAAGTTATCCTTGTAGGGCTTGGTCTCTAGGAACCACACCATTTTTGATGTCTTCCTCTGGACACATTCCAGTTTGTTAGTATCTTTTGTAAACTTTGTTGCCTGGGATGGGTCACGATGCTCCAGGAACAAAAGCAGAATAGAGTGGTTACCATTTCTTCTTTTGATCTGGACACTACACATCTGCTGGTACAACTTAGAATTACACTACCCATTTTAGGCAGCTCGTCACACTGCTGGCTTGTACAGTATTTAGCTTGTGGTGTACTAAAACCCCTAGACACATTTCACATGTACTGCTGGTAAGCCGGCTGTCGCCCACCCTGTATTTTCACATCTAACTCTGCCTGCCTTAATGCAGAACTTTACACCCATCTCTGTTGAAATTAGTTCTGACCCAGTTCTCCATTACGTTTACGGCAATCCGAACAAACACGGGGATTTTTGTTTTTCAGTTTTTGTGTACAATTCCGCACTGCTGAGAGACAAAGTGGTTTTGAAATCCGACAGCTGACTTTTTTCTTTGGCAGTGGAAACAATGATAACAAATAAAGCTGGTTACAAACTTAAAGGACTCCCTTCCCCTTAGCTACTGTTATTCAGAAGCTATGGCTAGCTCAGGGATAGCCTGAGATTTTTTTTGTTGCCAGCTTCTGCCATCCTGAATGTGAGGGACTGGCTGACTCTTTGTAGGAGCTGGCCTCCTAAGAACCCCCCAGGAAGATGACAACTCAGATCCGGGATTATGGTGGTGGGACACCAAGGAACAGTCTGGGGAAGGTGTGAGCTGAGATGTGCTAGAAGCAGGGGGTTTGAGCGATCAGGGGACCACAACAGGTGAAGGAGGCCCTTCCAGGACAGGGTTAGAGGCTGAGAGTCACAGTGTGGGTGCAGATTCAGACAGAAAGGAGTCAGAGGTTGCCCTCTGCATGTTGCTGAGTAATGGGCCAGGCAGGTCCAGAGGAGGAGCTCACCCCCTCAACACAGTCTTTGTCTGCTTGGGAGGGATACAGAATGAGAGCCTAGAGGGGGAAGGATGGGAGCTGGTACTCCTTTTCAGATGGATTAAGATAAGCCAGAGGAGAGAACTCTGCTGTGCTGTTCTTTCCTGTTAATAAAAAGCTAACTGCATTCCTTGCCTCCCATTCTTTCCAGCCCTGTGGATGACCTGGGCTCACTTGACAACTCCTTGACACCGAACAAGCATGGCCCATGGTCAGAGATGAAGGGAGTTATAGGACAACAAACAAATTGAGTTCACCAGGTTGGCCACCCTTGGCCTAGCTGGATGAAGAACCACATCTGCAAATGGGAGCTGTGTATATGGTCCTTCACTCTATATAGCAGGGCCTGTGACCCTCCAAATATTACTGGCCTACAATTCCCATCATCCCTGACCAGTGACCAGGCTGTCAGGGGCTGATGGGAGTTAGAGTTCAACAGTGTCTGTAGGGGCACAGGGTCCCCATCCCTGTTACATGGCCATGGACTACTGTGGGAATGCAGATGTGATCTGATATGTCACTTATCTGGAGGGTGGCTGGACTCATTCCATTCAACAGTTGCTTGGTGTTATCACCAACCATCTGATCAAGGCTATTCTTGGTCATGAGTCAGCTACTGCCTCTTGCTTTCCCCATCTTGCTTTCTTGGAGAATTAACAGGGAAGAGCTCTGCCCTCCCACATGTGTCACTACCGCAAAGCTGCCGAAAAGGCATGCGTTCTTGTGGATAAGGTAAAAGGATGTCTCCTCAAAGGAAGCTGAGTTAGATGCAACAGTGTTTGGAAGAAGGGGAGTTATGCTGCTCTGGTGATTTGCAAGCAGCAAAGCCAGAGCCAGCACTCTGAAAACTCCATTTGAGAACACGCCTCAATGCCAAGTCTAAATTCTCTCTGAGATGCATGTTGCCGATCTATGTGTTAAACCACACTTTAGATTTCCAAGGCAAATGAAAAGCAAACTTCAATAAAAGCTATTTACAGCAGCAGCTTTAATAGCTTGAAGCTGATCCTCAGTTATCTTTGGCACCAGAAGCCAATGTAACCAGTTTGGATTTATATATGTTTATTTTGGCCTTTTTAGCAATTAAAATCATTGCAGAAGTGGGAGCACCAAGAGTGACCTTTTGAGAAGTGTCCTTTTCTAACAAAAGAGCAAAGGCACATAACCTTTGCTTACAAAGTTAGCTTTCCTTTTAAGAGAATCCCACGATATTGCACATACACAGAAAGCAGAACTGAATGCTTCTCTTACTTTTTTTTGAATTCCACTTTGCCTGTGGTAGGTTGTGTGGATTGGGCCCAGCAGGACAAGAGTATGCAAGTGAGCAATGGTGGAAGACTGCGAAGGCTGTCAGTTTTGGTTTCTCTCAGTTTCTCTTTCCCCCAGTCTTGTGTTTAATTCTCAACAATTCTGCATCATTTTGCGTTTTCATTCTTTAATTTTCACGAAGATTCATCAGCATTTCAGTATGAGTTCCTTGTAATATACACATTTTGCCTAATATACACATTTTTGCAAGACATTTCCCCTAGTGGAATGGATTTTCATATATGTAATTTAATGCAGATTTTGTTCTGGAAAAAATGCATTTTTGCATACATTGGCTAGAGAACTGCACTGCAAAATTGGGAGAAATTCTCTCCCATCCTCACATGAAAATGGCAAGGAGGACAGAGGCAAACTGAGGCCATTTTGCTCAATCCTCACTTCCCCCACAAAACCTAGAGCCAGCAATATTTACAAATGCTTACCTTGACCACCTTGAATGCATTAAAAAATGGTGGCATTGACCCATGCTGCCAGTCCTATCAAGACAGCCTGTCACCCTTGGGATAAATCCAATATTTGGCCTGTCCCTAGACGCTTTGCAATCTATGAATGTGCAGAGCATTAATTAGGGCTCTGCCTGGCAAAGAACCATTTGGCTGTAAAAACATTTATTCATGTAATGAAAGCTGCCTTCCTTGTTCATTTTGAAGAGGTTCATTAAGATGATTAGAGTCATTAATGGTTTCCAAATGCTTTCTGAATTAAGAATAAAGCACGGGTCTTTTGTGCTGTGGGCAAATTGCAGCCTTGTTTCGGTGGCCTAATTTGTAAACATCATTTATGTGGGTAAGCCATATTTGTCTTCCTTTTCGAAAGAAAAATATATAGAAGAATATATTGAACACCGAATCCACTTACATCTCACCCTTGGATGTTTCAATTTTTCAATTGCACCATTTCCTTTAGCTTTCATATTGTGAATGGAGTAAAGGAGAGGACTAAAACAAAAATTTTAAAAATGTAGTAAGAACTTCCCAACCTTAACTAGAACTTTTGAGGGAGAGAGAAAAAAAACCACAGGGTTCCATTTGCTGTCCACCTATTGACCCTTGAGCTCTGTTGCAGATATTAATACTGTGCAATTTGAAGTGATTGGAAGCGTAAGAACTGACTGATTTTTGGAAGAAAACAGTGTCCAGGCA